CAAGGCACTGGGACATCCTTGACTGCTTTCTAAGGCCACAAGCAGGGAGCTGGATGGGAAATGAGCAGCCGGGATATGAATCGGCACCCATATGGAATCTCAGCATATGCAAGGCAAGGATTTAGCCACTTAGCTACTAAGCCATTGTGCCGGGCCCCAATCACTTCTGATCCTTTATTAAATTCTTTGCAATGATTCAAATCTTACACATATACTGTCAGCCTCAATCTAAAGATTCTTCCCTTAAAACACTTCTTCCCTAACCTCCACCTGCAAATCTAATAAAATTACAGTAGTTGTTGATATTACTTGAACAGGAAGCTAAAAGAAGAGAAGCAGGTTGAGCTACTGGAGAGTGAAGGGACGCATCGTTTATGGGATTCTGAATTCCTCAGTATAAACAGAACTGGGTTGGGTTGCATTTAGTTCCCTTCACAGTGCCTTTGTGGATAACACCTTCCCTAACGGCTGCATTCGTGCCAAGAGTACAATCACAACCGAATGCTTCCTCTTTCCCTTGTTAATTATGCAGGACCAAAGCAACATAGGGACCTTGCTGCAGGACTGCTGATTTCCCAGAAATCACACATGTGGAAGTAAATACATTTGGTACTGCTGTCCTGGCTATAAAAAACTGAATCCATTTACAGACATCTTTCGCACAAAATACCAGTTCCTGTAAGCGGAAGACATGATCACCATCTCGGATTCTAGAAATATCCAAAGCACCTGTTTCCACCCCCTTGATATAAAGATCTGGTGCTTATCACAAACTATGGGCTATAATGGTGAAAGGAGAAACCTGGCAAATATCATCATGGGTATGTTTCATTGTTCTAAAGTTGAGGGATGGTGTTCTCTTGAATACACCTTGAATCGTGAGATTTAACTGTCCAAGAGACACACACTCGTCTTGAGTCATTACATTTAATTCTCCAAGACACAGTGAACATTGCAACGTCATCTCTCTTTCAAAAGTTCAGGAAGGCAGGATGGTGGCTACCTAGGATCCTCTTAAGCTCGCTACAATAACAAACACTTGTTAACATTTTAAGCACCTTGCCTTGTATTATTTTTTCTCATATTTCAGTTTCCAAGTTATCTAGTAAATGTGATCTTTTTAAACATTTTTGTACTTCTGTTTGTCTTTTGTGATGCCTAAAACTTAATGGCCTGCACATGGTATTTATTAAGACATTAATTAACTAATCATAAAACCACTGGCATGTATCTCCGAAGTACATTTACTTAAAAGTTGCAAATCTGATTATCTCAGTAAAACTTGTAAGTTTATAGGTTCTTGCAGCATCTCAGACAGACCTCTGGCAAAACCAGCAGATTTTAAGAAGGGAGATAATCTTAGACGTAGTATTTTGCATATTTTAGCATGGGTATGATATCCAGACACTATGGAGATGACTTAATATTTCTGGAATACTAAACTGCAAGCATATTAAGTAAAGTGTGAAAATAAAAGATGGTTCCCTCTAAATCTTTGGTGAAAAGATAAAGGTGTGGTAGCTTTCTTTTCTAGGAATGCTTAAGTTAGTAATGATGAGTCTCTGATGCTGCAGGCCCAGGGAGGACCATGAGAAGGAAGAAGTCGGCCACAGTGCTCCCTCTTTTCCAGTTAGCGCAGGGGACACTGATGTGACTGGCTTACCGAGATCCACTCCCCTTAAGGACACTGAAAAGCTGCTTTTACAGTGATTACCCAGGACACCAGTCTCTTTGACTCTGAAAATACTTTGATATCAGCATCTCACTCAAAATCAGACTCATTACAACCCTGTCCCTTTTAATTTGTTTTTAAAATCCTAGTTTTGGCAACAAAACAAAGATTAATATTCAAAGTTCTTCGAATATTTTTTCACTGAGATCCGTGACGTTTATACTTTTAAGTCTAACTCATTGATACCTTATGAGTATCTCTCTTAAATTCTACCTACAGAGGTTGGCATGGTAGCCTAGTGGCTAAAGTCCTCGCTCTGCATGTGCCGGGATCCCATATGGACAGCAGTTCTAATCCCCGCGGCAACACTTCCCATCCAGCTTCCTGTTTGTGGCCTGAGAGAGCAGTTGAGGATGGCCCAAAGTCTTGGGATTCTGCACCCACATGGGAGACCCAGAACAAGCTCCTGGCTCCTGATTTCAGATTAGCTCAGATCCAGCCACCATGGCCCCTTGGGGAGTGAATAAGTAGGTGGAAGATCCTCTTCTCTGTTAAGTCTGACTTTCCAACAAACATAAATAAATTTTTTGGGGAAAAAATCTGCTTACAGAAGAGTCTGCTATCATTGCCTCTACCAAGTTGGTATGATGTAGATCCAATCTGGAGAGTGCAGAATGAAAGGGTAAGAGAAGAGATATAAAGACCCAAGCCGAAAGGACAGTGGGTGACTACCTCTTTAGTATCTTGACTAAAGTACAGGGACACAACACAGTCAAAAAGGTCACTGGACTTTATCTGGAGGAGAGGGGAGTATCCAGGGAAGAACAGCCGAGCCCTTCACGTGTAATAAGCTCTGATGCATGCCAGTGGCTTTCTTCAGATTGTCTGGGAAAACCAAGTTGTCCTAAGGATGTTACTGCAGAAAAAGATATGGTGCGACTGCTTAGTTATTGTCATCTGGACTTGTGGATGACATGGATAGAAATTTCAAGTCTACGTGTTTGGTCAGCAGGAGACCACAGAATCTGAAGCAGGAGGTTCTGAAGGTAAACTTACATCCACAGCAGTAAGAGTGAGAGTGCTATGAAGATACCACTGGTGGGGGAGAAATGGGGGTTGTGTTACCATGGAAACAAGGGAGCAGTACCGATGTGCAACAGCAATCACTCTTCAACATCATACACTTGTCAAGTGCAATAAGAATCTTTTTGATAAACAGTAAAGAAATACTAATTTTATCCCATCTCAGACCCTGCGTTACACATCTCCAGTATTGTTCAGAATGAAACAGGGAACCCTCAGAAGGCCGCTGTTCTCAGGCAAAGCCCAAGGATGGAGCACAGTTACTCACTCTCCTTGGAAGACCCTCTTTACTTGGAAGAAAAACCAACCTATTAAAAGTTGTTCAAACCTGGCTATTTGGAATATTTGCTCAATATTGTCTCAAAAATAAGCAAAGTGAGATTGCCACTTTAAGGGGCACAAGTAACCATGTTGTGATTGATGATAAAATTTGTGATTTAATGTGACAGTTCAAATTCTCAAAATCTTGCATCAATCACTGTGAACATGACAAAAGGTTTTCTTATGAGAATGGGAGTGATGCCAACAAGTATGAATTTTCAGTATTATATTTCGAAGTTTTGTCAGTCCTTAGAAGATACAAACAATAGTAAAACCATTACCTATACATTTCTAGTACAAAAAAGAAAATTCAAACTATGAAAGGATTAAAAATTCTTCATATTTCCACATATATACCTCTGTTAGTATAAGTGTCTTCATACTTTTCAATCAAAACATATTGCAACAGACTTAATGCAGAATCAAAGATCCAATTACAGGATTAAAAATCAATGTTATTATTCTTACTAAAATTTTACCCATTGTATATTTTTTTATGGAATATATAATACAGGAGTCTCATATTATTTGTGGTTCTGGTTTCTGCAATTTGTTATTATTGTGAAAATAATAGAACATTCTAGAAAAAATAGTCCAGGACCTGGCACTGTAGCCTAGTGGCTAAAGTCCTCGCCTTGCACGCACTGGAATCCCATATGGGGCACTGGGTCTAATCCTGGAGACCCTGATTCCCATCCAGCTTCCTGCTTGTACCCTGGGAAAGCAGTCGACAAGGGACCAAAGCCTTGGGACACTGCATCCATGTGGGTGACCTGGAAGAGGCTCCTGGCTCTTGGCTTTGGATCAGTTCAGCTCCGGCCATTGTGGCCACTTGGGGAGTAAGCCAGTGGACAGAGTATCTTCCTCTCTGTCTTTCCTCCTGTCTGTATATCTGACTTTTCAATAAAAAAAATAAAACTATAGTCCATATGCTTTAAATCATATTGAAATTTCTCAGTTTTCCTTCTGGGATGTGGGTCGCCCGTTTGTCCAGGGTATGCCTGTGCTGTGTATGCCATGTGCCAGCAGCTTAGTGACTGGAATACTGCATGAAATATGGATATGAAAGGGCTTATGTTCAAGCGTCCATACACAGTAGACTAACACTACGTCACGACATGCACCTCATAAGGTATGCATTGTCTCACCTCACATCACATCAAGGGTGCATACGGCACAATCAAATATTTTGCAAGAGAAAGAGATAGCGCATTCATATAATTTGCCTTACAGTATACTGAAACAATGATTTCAACTTATGATAAGGTACTATGGTTAGTTTACGTACAAATTTAATTGTATCACAGTATGTATTACTAGTATGTATGACTTAGAGTTTGACATTAGCAGTGTTTTCAGATATTGGGAATTATAACCCATGGATAAAATGGGTTGCATTGTACATATGTATAGAAAATACTTACCACAGAATAAAAAGACCATAAATTATTAGAAAATGTTTTTAGTCCCAATTAATCTGTATCACAAAACAAATGTACTGAATGTATTATTATATTATTATTGATGTCTTTAACCCCCATTATGCAGAAACTTTTTGAAATTTTCAATTCCTTCAAATTCAAGGGTTTCTGAGACCAAAATGTTTGAAAACTTCTTATTTCTTGGTGAAAACACTTGGAGCAGAGTTTCTCAGACGGTTTTTTTCAGAACACTGAATTCCTGAAGTGGTTACTAATACAAGGGCTTCTACTAGGAAATAAGCTGGGACAGCTAAGAGAATCCTAACATCTGCCATTCCCGGAGAGCTAACCCACGTGAACCTGCTGGTGGCTGAGAAGGTCTTCGGGACTGCCTCCATTTCGGCTAATTCAGTGCCACACTTTCTTGCGTTGCCTCAAGGAATTCACTGTTCACTGGCCCTGAAAGAAGGTTCCTGGCACAATGAGAGTCTAAAATGACTCACCTTCCAGACGGACCACTAGGGGAACCTTGAGCTCCAATTCCCGACAAGCTTTGGTGATTCCATTGGCAATGATGGCACAGTTGACAATACCACCAAAAATATTGACAAGGATGGCTTCAACCTGAAATCAAACACAGGAAGTTGCCCATCAAAATGCTGACAGCCAACAGTCTAATAAATAAGTTATTAAACAACAGGGACAAATAAAATAGTACATCTCATTTTTTGTTGCTGTTTTTTTTTTTTTTCAGAATACAGTATAAAGAGAAGGCCCAGAATGTCAACAAATATTTAGAAATAAATTAGTAAGTCTCAAGCAGCAGCATCTCCACGTGGGTGTATACATGTAAAGATTTATTTATTTATTTATTTGAAAGGCGGAGCTAGAGAGAGACAGAGACAATTTTTGCATCAGTTAATACAAAATGGCTTTATTAAATGTCAATAATAGCTATGGCTAGGCCAGGCAGAAATCAAGAATCTGGAATTCCTTCTTGTTTTCCCACATGAGCACAGAAGCTCAACCACCTACGTTACCCTCCTCCACCTTCCAAAGTAAACCAGCAGGGAACTGGATCCAAAGTGGAGCGCCTGGATCTTGAGCCGGTGACTGTAACGGAACCCGTGACTATATGGGATGCTGGCACTACAGATGTTGCCTTAACCAGCTATCTAAGCCACAACACCAGCAACATTACCATATTAACACATATCAAGTATCAGTCATAACTCAGCACCTCAAAGTAATTCAATCATTAGTTACTGTATAAATTCTACTCTAGAAAAAAGCATTTATTTTCTTTATCTAAAAGGCACAGAGGTAGAGAAGGAAAGAGGAAATATCAAAGGTGGTATGGAGGAGAGAGAGAGAGAAAGAGAGAAAGAGAAAAATCTACCACATACTAGCTCCCTACTCAAATGCCTGCAAGAGGCTGGGTTGGCTAAACTGAAATCAGGCATCCAGAACTTAATGGGAGAATCCTTCATGGGTGTCAGGGGCTCACGCATGTGAGCCAGCACCTGTGCTTCCCAGGATATACATCAGCAGTTAGCTGGAACAAAAAGCAGAGCTGTGACGGGAGATACAGGCATTCCAATCAGTGTCTTAACTGCTATGCACAAGCCTAGCCTACTTATGATATACTGCTCTCTCCTTCTGGCTATTAAATATTGTCTTCTGGAATCTGGTTTATGACTAGTGTCATTTAAAATCTCAAGCAGTTGTGCCTTTTCTCTTTGCAGTTTAAGTTTTTCCGTCATGGGACCTCATACAATAATTCAAAAACAAGGAACTTAATGATTATTTGTGGTTTTGCATCAACACTGAAAATTCAAACTTTTCCATGCTTCCAGAATACCTTTTTGACATGCTGAAGGAATAATCTCAAAAATCAGAGATAATTTAGTCGAGTAATTAAATTACCAGGGAAGGTAACTACCTTTTTTACTGAAAGAACAAAGACATACATATTAAATTGATACAAGCTGATACCAGAAGTAATGGTGTAAAGAAAATCAAGGCAGTGACCAGAATTTCTCAGCAATGTAAATGTTATCCCATCACGTTACCCTTCTGTACATATTCCATATTCAAATGCCTGTGAGCAAACAAAGAAATTGAGTTGTCCTGACTTGATAAATAGTATAAGAAAGTCCTGTATAATTACCACGAAGAACAAGATAATGAAGAGAATTCATTACTTAGATTAATTGATAACACCCACAGAAAACGACTGTTCCTCAAGATGGAGGTATCAAAATTCCAACAATGGATTTAAAATCAGATTGTGCTACACTAATTGCAAAGCACATATGCAGGCACTGCGTGTCACTTTAAAATCCTGCTATATCTGTGCTAACGAGGTATAACAGTAAAGGCGGGACGAGCACCTCACCATGGTGTGGCACGTAACTTGTTAACAAATGTCCATTATGAATCCTCATTTTCAATCACCCCAGAACCCTATCCATTAGGTACCTTATTTGCTAATTGTGGGCTCCTGCCGCTGATAAAACCATTGAAGCATCCAGGTGACAGGTCCCAAAGTCTCACAGCCAACATGCAGCAGGGGTATGGCTCAAGATCAACTGTCTAGACTATGTATGGGTGTGTTCCATCATGTCCTTTCCTAGAGCTACAATGCCAGGTCAGTTACCTAAACTCTCCTGAATGTGACTTGCTCACCTGCAGAACAGCAGGAATACTATCTCTTCAGTCTCTTGAAAGGCCTCAATGAGATGACACACAAGATTAGCATATTGCTTAAATGCACTTGGTGGCTATTTATATACACATTTGTTCAGGAAGCAATGTTGAAAGTGGGCAGGTTACCTAGACAGCACTAGACTGCAGCTATGCTGAATTCAAATAGAGTGGGAACAGAAACTTTCTGAAGCTCAATAAAAAGTGATGTCTTAAGAGTAAGATACATGAGCAGTATTTTTCAAGCCAGTTAAAGATTGGGGCTACACCCAAGAAAAAGAATATCTTCCATTACTCCTCACTGTAGGCTGACTGGTAAGCAGAAGTTTGCTTTCTAATGAAAGCTATTAAATGCTGTTAGCACTGTGGCTTGGTGCAGTAGTAGTTTCCAAGTAACTGTGGGGTGGAGAGGAACTTGCCAGAACAGTGGAAGGAAAAACATTCAAGAGCAGTAACAACTCCAGAAGGTCCAAGATGCGATTTCCAGAACTGCCAGAGCTCACTTGTGGTTTATACAGTAGGCCGTAGATACACTCCCCGGTACCTGCACACTCTGCCGTGTGCCATCCTGGGCATTCCATAAGCAGGAGCTCAGGTGTTCAGGGAAGCAGTGGTCTGTTTAATCCACCTAAAACTGCACTCCATTCCATGGAGTAGTTATGGTCTTAATGACAACATGAGCTAATCCACCTTACAGGGTAGGAGTGGAGGTGGAGGGCAAGAAGCAGGGAGAAAGCTGCAAGGGTGTGACTCAAGTCTACTCCGTGGGTGCATGTCTTGGAGTGTTGAGTATGATGGCAAGTGTGATGCTGCTTTAGCTGGTCTCACAGTGTCAGTGTCTTACTCAGTTTAATAAGCTTCTGACATTAAAAAGAGACACTCTGGGGCAGGAGCTTGGCACATGGACACTGATACCCCATATCACAATTTGTGGATCTGAGGCCTGGCTCTCCTCCTGAACCCAGCCTTCAGCTCATGCACCTGTGTCACTGATACCCGTATATGAAAACTTGCATTAAGCTGCTGGTTTTGGCCTGGCCGAGTCTCTCTCTTGAAGGCATTTAGAGTGAGACTCTGAATAAAGACATCTTTCTCTCTGGATTTCAATAAAGAAATATAAAATAAAATTTAATTGATAAACCCTCTCAACACAGTTACTTGTAACCTAAAAAGAAGTCGACCACTTTATCTGGTGCTGAAGCAAAGGAAACACCCATCTTTTTAACTGCAAAGGAATAGCGACTTTGTTCAATTTACCAAAAAACAAATCATTCCTGCTCACTAGTGTGGTTTGTTCATCTCTCCTCATTCCCAAATCCCAAAGATACAACTCCCTTGAGTAAGTCATTGCCGAGCTTATCTGAATAAAGGGTTAGCATTTTTCTTTTCATTTAACGTAATCCTCCAAGAGAATACTTACTTAATAAGTAATGGTCTATTGAACAGATTTATTTCAACAGTCACTTGACCATGTCTATTGAACTGGGTGCATAGTTAAATCCCAGGATATGGAAGAGGAGACATCAGTTTCCTCAGGGAGTTCCAGACTGGCTTTGAGAATGAGACATGTATGACAGAGCTAAGGCTTGTGCAGGGCACCAACACAGTCTTCTAACAACAGAGATTTTTTTATAAGAGGTGATGGACTAGTAGACACAGGGAAGGAATGAACAAGAATCCAGGTAGCACAGAGTGGACAAGATGAAGACAAAGATGTCATCCACTTTACTTTCCTGGGAGATTGCAGACTGAATACCACACAGAGAATAGCAAGTGCCAGAGGCCAGGGATGGGAACTTGGCCATCTAGCTTGCTCTTTCCACTTGCATAGCTGGCAAAGAGTCTGGAAAGCAGGTTCCATGGGAAGCAGAGGGGAAGCAACAGAAGGGGAACGAAAAAGAGTGAGCAAGGGTGTGAGGGTGAACATGTGCAGTGTGACTATGTCAGAGTACAGGGAACGTGGGAGCATTAGAGAACATGAGAGACACAGGGACAGGGAGACAAAGAAAGGGTTTGATTGATAGTACCAAGTTAGGATTCCTACAAGTAGATCAGTAACACATAGAAGTACACAGCCTGTTTAGCCCAGGAAAATGGAATTGTGCAGGAAAACACCATGGCACACTAAGATGAAAACCACCATCAGGGGTTCTGGGACGACCCCATTCAAACAGAGACTATGCTACCTCGTGTTCCTACCTACTACTAAAGCAATTTGCTGCAGTCGTGTGTTTTAATGAAAATGTGATTTAAGGTTTCATTTTGGGCCAATTTCTATAATTAACAACTGTAATCCACAATCTCAAACTGGGAATGAAATTAAGACAGTTAAAAAAGAAAGACTTGTGACATTATTATTATTATTTAGTATTTATAAAACATGTCAAATTTCCATTGTGTGCCTTATATGTTCATTCATTTTACAGCTAACTGCTATTCTCTAATACCAACAGTAGCTCAATGTCAGGTCTATTTCAGTGCCTAGAGAAAACTCCTAGAAGATACTTAAATGTTCTTAAGAACAAGTGTTTTTTTCAAATTCCTGGGGGCGGGGGGAACTGCATGCGTTGCTTGCTATGACCATTTCACAAAAGCAAAGATGATCTAATGAGGCTGTTACAGTACAAGATACAGAGCCTGGATCCCCAGATCCAGGCAGCTGTTCCAAAGAGCATGTGACAGTGGTTGGCAGTTACACAGGTGGCTGGACAATCCAAACTAAGGTGTTTCAAATGCCTGTGTCTGTTTGTCTTGCAAAAATGCACCCCCATTACCAATTTTAGTCTGCAATTAAAAATAAAGAATGAACTTTAAAAGAAGAAAAGCTAAAGCCTTTGCTATTTATCAAGCTCGTCACAATTCCAAATAAAAGAACAGAAACCAACGAAAATCAAAACTATTATCCCTTGCTGGAAAAC